CGTTGAAGGGGGGAAAGAAGAAGAGATGACGGCGGACCCAGGCCGGCAGATGGCAATTACGGAGGCTAAGGACCGCGCATAGAGGAGGTGCAGGCGTGACGGGGTCACAAACGAAGTGAAAGTGACCGTTGTCGGGACTGGTGAGTCCCGAATGATTTCCCGTCACTCGAGAGACTGCATATGGCCAATTTGTGCACGGCAGAGAAAACCGGAGGCAAGAATGCTGGAAAGTTTGGAAGCATGAGCATAGACGGTAGGAGGTGGGAGGCTGCCCAGGGTCGTCAGGACCACCACACTAGAGAGAAAACTATCTTGGCAGGGGGCAGCAAAGGACTGGGAGAGAGAATGACAAAGGCGACACCCTTCCCCGAGAACGGAGGAGGGTCGCCGAAGAATTAGTATTAGCATGAGGAGAAAGCAGTTAGACAGGGCGCAAGGCGTGGATGCAACACGACGGTGAAGGGACCAAGGAGGCTGCAGGATAAGTGGGAGTCGGCACCCGGAAGGGAACAGCGCGCGAGACGCGAGAGGGACGGGGAGCAAAGATCGCCTCAAGAAAGGAGGACGTCAGAGGAACCAAGAAAAGATGTGGCACCGGCGGGGCAAAGTGTCGGGGGCCATAGGGCACCAAGAAAAGATGTAGTGTCGAGGGGACAAAGCGTCAGAGACCACGTAGGACGAGGCAAAAAGTATGGTACTACAGCGGGACTAGTAACGAGGACCACGGGGGACTAAGTAGATGAGTATGGGCCGGCGGAACCACCGACGGGACGGGACAGGTACCAGCGGGACCAGCGCCAGGAGTTGTCGGCGGAACAAGGGACGTCTGAGCAAGTGGGGACGCGTGACGATCCAAAAGGGAAACAGGCCGCTGTCCGGGACGGCAACAGGAAAAGTAAATGGGCTAGGAAAATAATGAGAAAATGAGGAATCGAACGCCAACGGGAAAAACTGTCGCCGGAACGGAAGAGGCCAGCGCGACACGGGAATGGCGGGGAGAGCCTGGGAGGTTCCGGGGGAAACCAGATTAAAATATGCTAACGGTAAAAATAAATGCCAAGGGGACGGCACCTACGGGGGGCACCCGGCCCGGACGGATACTAAGTGTCGCCACGACAAGCGCGGACGGAGAGTGTCGGGGGGAAGAAAGAAGGGAATAGTGGCGGCAAGAGGGGCTGGCCAGCAGTCCAGGCTATCCCGGACCGGCCAGGCCAAAGAAGGAGAAGTTCCAAGGGCCCCACGTGGAGAAAAGGCTGGCCGGAGAAAAATCGGAGCAAGGCAGCCTTGATCTGGAAGCGGTGGCAGCAAAAAGGAGCCCCCTTGGACCTTGGGGGTGCCATTACTGCAGTCCGGGGTGTAACGGCTATATGCCGTCTGCAAAATCAGACCTTGGGAAAGGTCCAACAGCCAGAAAGAGAAGAAATAGCTGTTGGACACTTGTCCCAACAGTAATGAGAGAAA